TATCCTACATTATTCTTCATGTTAATAATTTTAACAAGAAAGAATAAAAATTCAGTCAACATAGTACAAGAACCCCGTGACATGAATATAACAGATAAACACCATATGCAATTCCTATAACAATAAATTATTAAGTGAAAAAATTCACAACAAAATTCACATATTGGAATACATAATCCCTTTGAATGAAAAAAAACGTCAAACTATGTTTGCTAGGTAAAGTTTAGTCTTCAAATCAAAGAAGTTTAACAAATGGTATTTGAAATAATTATATGAACATGAATGACACCAACTTATTGTGAAATTAGAAAACACGAAAAAAGAAAAGAAAAGAACTTGACTTGAGGACATACCAGAAAATTGATGAACCTCTTGTAGAAGACTGATGATGCTTATCGGTTGTTGTATGAAAAACATAAATTTGAAAAATGAAACTATGAAAAAGCAAAAATATTTATTGCCAAAAATTTTGTAATCTTTTTAAAATTCAAATGTTTAATTGCCCATTAAAATAGGAAACCACTCATTCAATAAAAATACAATAAAAAAAAAAAGGAAACTACTAGATATTGTATAAAATAAGCAAAGGGCATTTAGGTACTACAAAAATATGAAAATTTGAAATTATGTACTTGTCAACCAAATGTTTTATAAAAAGTATACTTACAAACTTAAAAGTTTGGGCAATGGACTTTTCCAGGAATATTTTCAAAAAAATGTACTGCCCCACAACTTCTCCCCCCCTCCCTTTTTTTTTTTTTTTTTTTTAGTTTTAGCAATTAGTTCATATTTTTTAAGAAATTAATTTAACAAATTAATAAAAAAAAAATTCAATAATGTTGAGCTGGTAATGAGTTAGGAGTGTAGATAAGGGATGATGATGGAGAGAAATTAATTTTTTTTTTTACATCGCACGAGCACGAGAAGGTGAGTAGTTTGAGACTACTAGAAGGTAGAAAAAAAATTCTTAGTTGGTGTTAAACTGCGGAATGTTAAGTTTAGAAAAAAGCCAATTAATAAAGACTATCGAGAAATGTGTTGAGAAAATATTAAAGAAAGAGTATAGAAATTTAGAGGTGTTAAAATATGATACGATCTCATTAATATAATATGAAAATTAGAGAGTTTGAATATTCTTTAATTAAATCACCTTTTTAAAAAACGAATAGATTAATACGACACGATTAATAAACAAATAGATTCAATACGACATGATAAATAAACAAATTGACTCAATTGAGTATGAGTAAAATGAATCAAAAGATATACACAATATGACTCATTTATATATGAGTAATGCTATATGGACTAAAAAATTAGATTTGATACAATTATTGATTTCATTGTGAGTCTCAACATCTATTGAGACCCACTACCTATTCCATGGTTGCAATTATCAAGTCTAATTTTTAAGTTCATGTAACATTATTCTTATATATTAACTAGTTATTGCTTGTGCACGAAGGCATAGAGTAATAAAAAAAATGATCAACAATAAATATATTTGTATTCACACCTAAAATTAAATCACAAATATATAGAGAGTGAGCGATGATAGTGGTGGTGGGTGGTAGTGGTAGAGGTGGGGTGGCGATGTTGGTGGTAGTGGTAGTGGTGATGGTCGTGAGGGGTGGTGGTGAGGCGATAGGGGTGAAGGTTGGACAGTGGTAGCGGTGATAGGGTGATGGTGGGGGGTGGAGGTGTCAGTTGTGGTGGTGACGGTGGAGGTGGGGGTAGTGGGGATGGTGGTGGTCGGGCGTTAAGGGTGGTGGTGGTGGTGGGGTGACAATGATGGTGGTGGTGGTGGCAACGGTGGTGATGGTAGGAGGTGGTATCGTGACGACAGCGATAATGGTGGTAAGGGGGTGGTGGTGGTGGTAGTGGTGATGGTGGTGGGTGGGGTGGTGACATTGGTGGTGGTGGTAATTGTAATGGTGGTGGGGGTGATGATGGTGGTGGGGCGATGGGGGTAATGATAGTGGGGTGGTTTCAAACACTACTTTTTTTTAAAAAGTATTTATGAGAAATTATAAGTAATAAAAATATTTTTAAAAAGTCACTCCAAACACACCTTTAAAACCTTATTTTCCCTATTAAATTTAAAGTGTTAATATTAGTCGTCGGATTAACTTTAAAGTAAAATTAAAAGAAATCTCAACTACGACTAGCAAAAACTATTTTGTTTATCTTTTGAAATTTAAATTATAAGATAAATTATACTGTTAGTTCTTGAGGTTTGTCACCTTTTGCACTTTTGTCCCTAAAGTTATAATTTCGTCAATTTCGTCATTCATGTTAACACATTGACTTACTTTGATCCTTACCTTTAATTGCCGTCCAAAAAAATGACGAAAACCAGCACATGTTAGGCACATGACTACTATTAAGGGTAATTATGTCATTATTCAATACACCCCTATATACAAACAAATTTATTCCAATTTTAGTAAACATTGTACGCAAACACACTTCTTATTCCTCGTCAATTCTTGCTGCTGTTTTTCTCTCTCACAATACATATACCCAAACTCCTCTCTCTCTTTGTCTCTCGCTCTCCTTCTCCTTCTTTAAACTAAGCAATACCCTGTTGTTAGAAGGTGGAGGAGGCATGGTGGCGGTTATCCCTAACAATCTGCGACCACCCCCCGTCTCTACCCATCTGCCACTACTGATATCCACCACCCACTGTCCTCTCTCTCTCTTTCCCTCTCAATGTCTCACACAAAAACCTAACCTCAACTGCCCCTGTAACTCCCCGTACGATTGCCACCACTTCATCAAGCCCTCTACTGCCCGTAACACACCAGCTCCCCCTCCTTCTCCACCGCGATCCGTGAAACCCAAAACCATCGATTCTCATGTGCTCAAGAAAATTTCAGGGAATTAGGAAGGAGACAAACAGAGATCTACAGAGATTTTTGTCAACTATGGAATCAAAATCCTAAACTAATTCTTCATCAATTCAAATTTGGAATCGCAATATCGAATCTGAGCAAGCAATTTCGGCCAGGTGCCATGAAGTAAAGCTTCATTTTTCTATGGGAGCTGTAGAAAATTAGGTATTGGTGTGATTACGTTGTTGTTTGTGTATTTCTGTGTTTGAGAGAGATAGAGAGAAAGATTAGGTGTGAGACAGGAGAGAGAAAGAGAGAGAAACATTGTGCATTTGCAGGTAAGTGTATGTGTGTGCGCGCTTTGTTGTGGGTGTGTTGTGTGTGTGTGCAAATGCTCAAAACTTAAAAAGAGAGAGAGAGAGAGATGGTGTATGCTTTTTTTTTTTTTGTAGGGATACTGTTTGATAGGGACATAGAATGATGCAGTGAGATGCCTCTGAGTGAAAAAAGAAGAAAAAAGAGAGGAAGGTGAAGATGTGTGATTGGTACCATGTATAATGTTAGTCAAATAAGGGATAGTGGTGTTTGGAAATAGGTATTGACATGAAATAACAAAAATGCCCGTCAAAACTGTCATTTGCTTGGCACATGATATTTTTCGTATCTTTTTTAGACGGCAGTTAGGGTGCGTTTGGTAACGTTTCGTTTTTATGTTTTTTTTTTTATAAAAAAAATAGAATTAAAATTTTTTTTGTGATAAAAATTAAAAATTTAAAACATGTTTAGTAGTCATTTATATTTAAAAAATTGTGAAAACAAAAATAAAAAATTTATTTTGTATTATACCAAAAATTCATCACTCGAACCCTATCACTCAACCCCACTAACCACCTAAAACCACCATTCAATTCCACTGACCACCTAACCCCACCGCCGAAACCAACAATCCATTCTCACCACTGAAAACCACAACCACAACCACCCCACTGACCACCACCCAACCCCATCCCTAAAAACCCGCGCCCAAAAACCCACCCCCAAGCCACCACCCCCACAATTGAAATCCACCACCCCAATCTCCCAAAATCCACCATTCATCTATATATACAGACAATATACATAGATCTAGGGCTTGAGAAGACGATTGAGAGAGGCGATGACATGTTTCCCCCCTTTTTTTGCGTCGTCTTTGTCTTTTGCAGAGAGAGAGAGAGACGACTAAAAGGGCGATGGCTTCGTCTTTGGCAGCGTGAGACAGAGAGAATTGAGAGGGGCGATGTCGACAGAGATGACTTCTCTTCGTCTTCAGCTTTTGGCATCGAGAGAGAGAGAGAGAGCCGACTGAGAGGGGTTAAAGAGAGAGAGATATTGGTTTTTATACTCAAAGCAAAAAACTTCATATTTTGTTGCTAAGGAGGATCAAAGTCAAGACCTCATTAAATCTCTTTATCAATCGCGCGTTTGTTTTTTTTTTTTTGATGTTTTCAAAAACATCATTTTGGATGTTTTCATATTTTAGCATTGTTTTCAAAATAGAGCAATTAAAAAAAAACGAAAACATTCGCAAAATATATTTTTATTTTTTATTTTTTACCATAAAATGAAAAAAAAAAACAAAAAAAATAAAATAAAAACCACTAGTTAGCAAACACTATCTTAGTGTCAAGGACCATATTGGTCGAATGTGTAAACTTTGAAGATCAAATTGACGATAATAAAATTTTAAGAACCAAAGTACAACTAATGATAGAGATCGGAGACTATTGTTATAATTTATTCTTGAATTATATTATATAGATTATACATAATTTATAAAACGATATAAATTTAAAATGACACGATTCACTAAATTTGAGTTGATAAATATATCGAATGTGAGTAGAATAATTTTTACCACAAATTCGTTAAAATTTGACTTGAATCTCTCACAGCGAATACGATTGATTGATGAACATAGAATGATAGAATTCTGCGGTATACATGCGCCACAGGATAATTATTGTAAAGCTCGCCCTTCTTGTTCTTATCCATTTCTCATTGTCCATGTGCAGTCACGTGACCAGCCCACAGAACCATCCTTCCGAAACCTTCTGATCTTCTATAAACACCAAACCAGAACCCCATCCCTAGTGACACTCACATACAAACTGGGGAGAGAGAGAGAGGATGAAGAAAGCAGGGAAAAGCCCCAAACCCATCGTGAAGTCCGGCGATGCTCGAAAGGATAGGAAATCGGGGACCGGAATGAACGGATCGCCGAAGAAGGGAGGTAACGGCGGCAAGTTCACTTGGTCCGGCGATGGTTTCTCCCATGCTGAGCTCGGGTTCGGCAAAGAAACTGTCGATTCAAACGATCCCAACTACGAAGACTCAGAAGATATTGTCAACAACGCTTGATGATCTTACAGTGTTCTCTGTTTCGACTCAGATGTAAATATTTCGGTGATCGACGGATTGCCATTTTAATAAATGATATTATGACGTTTTCTATAAATTTCATGAATGTTGATTTGTGTTTATGGTGTAATGATCTCTGTTTTGCTGGTATACCAAATACCAAGAGTGAGAGTTGGATTTTTTAATTAATAATTAGTAATTATTTAAAATAAATCAATTTTTAGTACGGTAATGTACAGTAATTCTCTGCTTTGGTTAGATATTTGGCTATTATTGAAAATACGGAGCATTACAACAGGGAGCTCGATTGTTTTTTAATCATTCAGACTTCGTGACATTTAAAATATTATATACAAATTTCCTAAGGTTTGTATGCATGTAACATAGAATATTATATACAAATTTCCTAAGGTTTGTATGCATGTAACATAGTTTTCTGCTGTAAATGTAATTGTTAACAAATTATACTTAGATTCTCTAAAATTTGTGAGTATATATTATTTAGATTTTTTAAGTTTAAAATATTATATTTAAATTAAAAATATTTTAATTAAAAAAAATAAAAAATATTTTAAATTTTATTACTAAAATTTATGTTTTATTATCATTTATTGAAATAAAATTAAAAATTTAATTTTTTTAAAATTGTAATTAATATACAATTATATTATTTATTAAAATTTAATTTAGTCGTTTAAACGATCAAATTAAAATACTAAGCTACTCCAATTAAATGTCAAAAATATTGTGTCAATTACAGTTTGATTCCTTATTTAATTTTTTAATTTTATTCTAATAGACAGTATAAATATATACTAACTATATTTTTTGTTTAAATAATTTTTTATTTTTAATTTTATTTCAATAAATGACATAATAGAATATGAATTTTGAATGTAAATTTATTGTGAATAACTTAGACCTATTGTTTGATTTTTTAGTTTTATTCCAATAGATAGAATAATTGTATACTATTATTATTATTTTAAGAAAAAAATTAAATTTTTATTTTTAATTTTATTTCAATAAATGATATAATAGAACATGAATTTTGGTTATAAAATTTAAAATATTTAATATTTTGTATTTGATTGAAATATTTTTGATTTAAATATAATATTTTAAATTTAAAAGATTTAAATATTATATACTCACACGTCTCCCCTCCCCCTCGCAAAAAAAAAAAATATACTCACAAACTTTAGAAGAGTCTAAGTATAATTTATTAGTGAATATATTTACGGTAGATGTTTAAGTGTGGACAAATTTCAAGCGGTCTGTGTGTATTATTTCAAATATCAGGGATCTGAGTAATTAAATGACAAAATTGCAGTCCTAATAACTCGGGGCGGTAAATGTGTGATCGATAGGTATATTTAATAAAAAATTAATATATACGTAAATAAACATAAGTTATACATCACAATAATTTAACATGACACATACCTAAGTATTCCTAATTATAAAATTAATTAACTATAAATTACTAATTTATTTTTAAACATCCATCTCATCCCATAGGAAAACTCACCTCCTCCTTTTGTCCAAACATTTTATTGTGAACAGTTTTTTTCAAACATTACTGAGTAGTTTTTTTCGTTTTTCAAAAATAATATTTTTTTTTGTGTGGCTAATTTAGGGTTATAAGTTCCGCATTCTAAACTTGTTTAACATATATTAAGTGGAAATTAACGACCTGCGTGAATCAAACCAACCGTTGGTATCAAAGCGACCTCTATTCTGTAGCAAGCGGACTCTATTACGCTAGTTCACTTCATACGCAACCCCATCTCTCTCTCTCGCCCCCCCTCCCCCCCCCCCCCC